TACTGAACCGATACCGAATTGTCCGCGTCTGCATCGCGGTGCACCGAAAAAAAGATTATTTTTGACACCCCTAATTGTTTATAAATAATGAATTCACCTCCCCCTATGAAGACAATGCCATCGTCCACCGTGATGTTTCACATTAGACATCGTACGATGCCAAATTGGTCGACATCGCCCAACCCTACTAGGAAACACTAATATGGTGCGGCTAAATATCATCTTCGACATGAAATGGCCCTTGTAGTAAGTATTATTTGCCTTCTGAGCAGCAATAAATAACACTTATTAATGTAATATAAGGAGCTTTCACGTGATTTCTAAACTAGGAGTGTTTTGAAACGAATGAATGCATAATAACCGTGATAACTGTGATTAGTCCTCACACTATAATCAAACAACCAAAATCTACAATTGTTACATTCCTACCGCAAATAAACACTGAGCCTTCTTGACATGACAAACATATAAAAAAGTCATTGAAAGTCTTTAGATTTGGTGTCCATGAAAGAGTAGTCAGTGTTTCCCAATGTGTAGTGAATCAAGCTCATCACTATCCTCACCAGTGTACTTAATCATGTACACGCCCTACTGATGAACGACCTTGTGAGCTAGGGTGTGTATTGAGACGGACCCATAGAAAATGTGTAAATCACTGGTGCGCAAGGATCAGGTTTGAGTCCTGCTGGTTTATGTAATGTTCAGAGATCTCAACTGTGGAATAAGCTGTAATGTTATTCTTAGAAACTAAAAACTTTTGTCAGTGTCTCGTTTTCATAATGTTATTTCGTCAGGTTGAAGTACAGGTAGGCCCGAGGGAAGACACCGAGCGTCTGCACCAAATCATGGTGAAACGGATAGAAATTAGGCTTGAAATTCTTGCACTGACAGGGCAAACAGGATGCAAATTCGCCTCAAGGCCACTGTAGGAGGTCTCGCGGAGGGACCTGTTAGCGCTTGCAAGACAAAGAAAACTATCCATGCATGGTCATCTGGCAAGACGAATTGTTGGAGGCATCCAGCCTGAGCAGAACTAGATTTAAGGATGAGAAAGTATTCTTGTGGAACCAGTCAATGCAATGAGATCTCAAAGGGAATTATACTTTGTCTCCTCTGTGCTATTTAAAGCCCAAATGTGTGGCTTTTGAGCCAGAAACTTTGCTTATCCCCATCTAGGATATCTCACTCATGTTGGATTCATTGCAGAGGGTTCTGATAGATCATGCGTAAGTTAATTAAACACAGCTGTCTCCGTTTCATTTCCCTGAAATATTTGATGGGATTGTCTTCCGTGTAAATGAACAGATGAGATGTGCGAACCAGGTTTTTCTAGGTCAAAAAACGTCCATACTAAGTAAACAACTGGTTTATTTTCTCCTCCCTGCCAATATAGTATGTTAGCAGTGCAGCTTTGCTTTTTATTGATGACCTGGGAAGCAGACCTATTGACCATAAAGGAGAATTTTTCTGCAATAAAGGATCTTATTGGCCTACTTTTCATCTCCGTGGATCGAAAATATAAGCGGATATTTTTAAAAGTCCCTTTGAAGCTTCACAGTGTTCGATATCTTTAGATATGTTTCATTTGGCATTATTTACTTCTTTCTCTTTACATCATATTGACACTTCATGCCGCAGAATGCATCTGAGATAATTCAATACGACGGGCTGTATTACCTCAGTGGACTGAATGGCTTCAGCAGTGCATTAGCAGTGAAATGACTCGCTGATGGAGTTCTGGAGATCATTTGGGAGAAAGTACTGCCAAATCTTTCCTACACGGAGAAGATGTCCCAAAGTGCAGCTCAACATCTGCCTGATGTTTAAACCGCTTTATGTAGAACATCGATCCAGCTAAAAGCTTGTCCTAGTTAACTAGCAAATGCTTCTGCGCTGAGAGGAGTTATTTTACACGATCTGGACTTTCATTTACCTTCATCATGGTGTGAAATGAAGATAAGTCGGAGTATAACAGTGTTATGCCAAATGTTGCTTGCATGTCAAGAAAAACAACAACTCTGAATGAAACATCAGATTTCAGGTTCATGTAAAAGGAAATACTGATTGTTTTTAAAGGCATACTATGCTCAATTTGTTTTATTAAATATTTAAAAAGTACCAGAACAGTGTTATATATTTAGATATATGATGTACTTGCATCATCCCAAAAGGTTGGAAGAATCTGGTTTGGTTTCATAGAAAACAAACAAACTCCAAAGCCGCTTTAGGATTGAGGTGTACCAAATTTTCCGGTGCAAAAACTATTGACAGGCATTTTTGGCTTCGGGCTGAAAATATGAGCCGTAAAAAGATTATTCTGCACCACAATCTCCACTATGTTCAGCACGCTGATTTCACTCTCCCTCCAATTGTAGTCATTGCACTGAGTGAAGCATCTTTTACATCAGACGTGGAAAACGCTGCGCTATGAAACCCATTCATTTCACTGTGCCATGCAAAAGTCAGTTTGTTGCTGCATCGAGCAAAGCTTCAAAATAGCTCCATATTCCACTCTGTGGATATTCCATTCATGACCCCATACTAGGTCTGGGTGATTAATCGAAAAATAATCAATCTACGTTCAGAACCTATAATCGATCTGATTTTCCCTGGTCATTTTTATCATTTATTTTCCCTGCTGTGTGGGGTCACGTGACCCCGCTCCGTTAAAGGGCCATGAAACCCCCTCGTTTCAGCAGGGTGTTTTCACAACTCTACTTTGGAAAAAGTCAGAAAAGTGGGCGTGTCCAGCTCTGTTTAGGGGGAGTGTCGGAGGAACTAAAGTGGGAGTGTCTATTTGGGCGCGCGCGAGTTTCAGTCAAAATACTCACACACAGTAGAAAGTGATGGTGTTTAACCTACATGGACATCTGTAGTGGAATTATTTGCCAAATTATTAAATGTTGGACTTTAACTGTAGTTTGGCTCTTTCATTCAGGGAATTCATTCATGCCCCTCGCGACAAACGAGATACTTGATTCGAGGATCTGCTCTAAGCGTGTATTTTTCATGCAATGTTTGATAATGCACGGTGAATGAGAGAAAAAAAACCTCAGCATTTCCCGGAAACTTAGATGCACACGGCAGGTAGCGTCAGAAAGCCGCGTGTGTTATTCCAGTCACTAAATGCGGTTAAAAACCCTACACGAGGTTAAAGTTTGGTTGTGGTCCTAACATGTTACGGTGCAATAGTTAACTTAGTTCGATACGAACAAACTGAATAAACAAAGAGCACTGGTCGATCACTTACCAAATCTGTAGAGACAGGACAATCACCAGCAACTAGAGCCGCGTCTTTATGGAGAGAATACTACAAGCGTATCCGATCTCAGCGTTTGCAGATAAGAACAGCTCTCAGGTAAACAATAATCCTCCTTAGACACGTAAGTTATTGTTGTCGAGCGTCGCGTACACTGTTAATCCACACGTGAGTCTGAGCTCTCACAGAGAGAAAAAGAAAACGAAACTTAACGGCAGCAAACTATAAAAGCAACACTTGATGAACAACTTAATGAAGTTGATAGAGCGCGCTGATTGGTTTGAACCAAGCCTTACTCCTGCATTAATGCAACACACTGTAAGACGTAATAAGACTCACTCTGGCACAGACGTCCAGTCTGCACGCTGGAATACGAGCTATTATGTCATGACCGTGACGCAGCTTCAAAAATTCGTTTCAAACAGGAAGTACGAATTTGCTTGAAATAACGCAAAAACAACCAATTTACACTTTTTAGTGAAATATAGGTGTCTTAATAGTGTTTTTAGCAGTGTGGGACACATATACGACTGTCAACAGCTCAAAAAATGTGTTTTGGTGTTTTGTGACCCTTTAAGGCTGATTCATATCGAGAGCACATTGTTCAGCGTATCGTTTGAGCGGTCCCATACCCACACACCTCTCAAAAATGTAACTACAAGTTGTCCCTCCTCTAAATGACCAAGTTTTAGCTTCTTGTAACGTTACATAAAGGTAGCATTCAGAAAAAAAAAAAAAAACGTGAAAAAATTTGGAAGTGTTTTTACAGAGCAACAAACAGCACACTAAGGTATATCAATGCACGTCTACGATCAAGGCAAGCACCGTGGGTCACGGCGAACACTCGATGCAGTGTCTAAGGTTGATTTATTCTTTTGTGGCCACTTTGCAGCTACATGATCTGATCAAGTAAGTTGATTGAGTTCATTCTTACACCTTACTTTGCACAAAACTGACGATCTGACTGCGCCAGAGATGCCTTGAGACGACATATTTTCCATTTGCGGTCAAATTGTTATTTACAAATATTTGTTTACATAAGATGCAAGATATGCACTGTTTAAAATATTGTTTACAGGATATGCAAGAGTTATTTTATTGAAAAGAGATGCTGCTTATTTTCTACTTTTAATATGAAAAGCACTGAAAATTACTCATTTTGTTTCCAAAAGAGCAAATTATTACTATTGTTTTTCCCTTTTTTATAAGAAAAAAGTGACTGTTGGTTTTAGGCGATGTGTGCTTTAATTTCAGTTGTTCAACATTGATGTTCATTAAATTATCACAGATACACTGTAAAAAATTTCCCTGTAAAAAAACGGTAATCTACTGGCAGCTGTGGTTGCCATTATCATACTGTAAAAATATGGTGCCCTACCGTTTTTTAAATTACCAGCATGATACTGTTTTTGTTAGCAACAGTATTCTACTGTTGTGGAACTGTAAAAGTACAGTGCCCTACTGTTTTAAATTAACAGCATGATACTGTTTTTTTAGCCACAGTAATCTACTGTTATGGAACTGTAAAAATACAGTGCCCTGCCATTTTAAATGAACAGCATGATACTGTTTTGTAAGATACAGCATACCACTGTTATTCTAATGTAAAAATACAGTGCCCTACCTTTTTTACATTTTATCTACAGCATGCATCTGTTATTTAGAAGCATAAAGCTGTTAAATTACAATCCATATTTAACCATATTATTTCAGATTAAAATGATTCAAAAAGAGAAATAAATCCAAGTTATATTTCACATTTTTATTTTCAAACAACACAAAATAAAATCTGCATTGTGTTTGTGAAAATATTAAGCCAAAGAACAGGCAAAAATTGTAAGTTCTCCAGAAATGTTAAGATTGTTTTCAGCCTTGTACAACAAGAAGCAACTTACCGAATGTCATAGAAAAAATTAATTAATAGCCACTTTACAATTTAGTCTTGGATATAAAATATAAAAATATATAGCCCCAAAATGAGCTTCAGCAAATAAAGAAAAAAAGGCCTCTGTGTTGCAAAAGTAGGGGGGTGCAAGCTAGCTGCATTTTAAATAAAGTCCCATTCAAAGTCCATTAGTTTCTTTAAAAGGTTTGAAACCTTGGGGTTTACAGTCATGGTCTTCTTCTGAACTGTCTTGCCAGTTTTTTTTGATGTCACATTTCCTCTCACAGCCTTGGTTCCCCTCTCTGGATTTATGCCAGCAAAGCATCTGAATAATAAGAATAAAAGATTTTCTGTGAACAAGGTATTTAAAACTGTATGACTTACAAAAATAAATAAACTATCTGCAAAAGTGATTCTCTGTTCTGAAAGAAAATTTTAGTGAAAAAGCACATGCATTTTTGCAGCACTAAAATGGTTTTCCCTGAAAAAAGGTTATTATTATATGATGAAGATTAAAGACATGAAAAGGGCATTCAAATGTTAAAATGTTTGATTTTTTTAACAACACCAGTGACGTGTGTGTACATAGTTAAAGTCCCTATTTGCTATTATATATGTACAGTTGAAGTCAGAATTATCAGCCCCTTTTTTTGAATTATTTATTTTCATTATTTTCCTAATGATGTTTAACAGAGCAAGGAAATGCTCACAGTATCTGATAATATTTTTTTTTTCAGGAAAAAGTCTTGTTTTATTTTGACTAGAATAAAAATAGTTTTATTTTTTTTAAATATTGATTTTAAGGTCAAAATTACTAGCCCCTTTAAGCTATATAATGTTAAGATAGTCTACAGAACAAACCATTGCTATATAATGACTTGCCTGATTACCCTAATCAGCCTAGTTAACCCAATTAACCCAGTTAAGCTTTTAAATGTCACTTTAAGCTGTATAGAAGTGTCTTGAAGTATATCTCGTCAAATATTATTTAATGCCATCATCACAAAGAGAAAATAAATCAGTTATTAGAGATGAGTTATTACAATATTGAGTTATTACATATAACTATTATGTTTAGAAATGTGTTGAAGAAATTCTCTCCGTTAAACAGAAATAGGGGAAAAAAATAAACAGGGGGCAAATAATTCAGACTTCAACTGTATATAATATAATATTTTTTTTTTCCCCAATTTCTGTTTAACAAAGAGAAGATTTGTTCAACATTTCTGAACATACTAGTTTTGATAACTAATTTGTAAAAACTAATAACTGATTTCTTTTATCTTTTCCATGATGACAGCAGATAATAATTGCCTATATTTTCTTAAAATACTAGTGTTTAGCTTAAGGTGACATATAAAGGCTTAGGTTAATTAGGTTGATTAAAGTCATTGTATAATGATGGTTTGTTCTGTAAACAATAAAAAATATGTATTGCTATAGAGGACTAATAATATTGACCTTATTATGTTTTTAAAAAAATAAAAACTACTTTTATTCTAGCTAAAAATCAGAAAAAAATTCTCCAGAAGAAATAATATTATCAGAAATTCTGTGAAATATTCTTTGCTCTGTTAAACATAAATATGTAAATATTGAAAAAAGAAAAAAAAAATCAAGGAGGCTAATAATTGACCACGCACGCACGCACGCACGCACGCACGCACGCACGCACGCACGCACACACACACACACATAAATGAACAGCCCCTTTAAAAAATGTATATTTGTATAAATTCCTCAGTGAATATAGACAAATATATATTGGTGCATTTAAACAAAACAGTTTTATTAAACAGAGTAATATTTTTTTCCTGTTTATTATTAAAGTTGTATTTTTTTTTCATCAAAATATTCAAAATATTCACTGGTGTGTACTAAGTTTATTAGCTCCAATTTTGGCTTTGACTAATCTAATGTTTATGCACAAATATATAATTGTAAAGCATTCTATTCAAAATATTAATCTGAAGGACAGATTTTTTAGAGGTCATGTTTAAAAAGGCTATTCTGCTCACAAAGGCTGCATTTATTTGATCAAAAAATAAGTAAAAATGTTGAATTTTAAAGTGTTACTACAAGGGATGTAACAGTATCAGAATTTCACTGTACGATAATACCTCGGTATGAATGGCATACTTATTGAATAATTTACAGGAAAAACAAAACTAATGAAAAGACTCGAAAAAAGTGCCAAAAGTGTTTATTTACCTTAGCACTGAACATATCAATGACATACAAATTAGCCATCTATCTGTAAGTTTCGAAACAGGAACTTCAATTTTTCAATTTTAATAACAAAAAACTATTAAACTATATATATATTAAAAAAAAGTTTCAATTTAGTATTGTTGAAAACTCATCACATTCAACATTTAATCACTCACTCACTTAGATAGAGATGGGTTTTTTAAGGAAAATGATCATATTACTATAATCTGGTAAAAGCTGGGATCTCTGGGCATGTCCCCTGCAACAGAAAAAAAACCCTCTCATTTGGGACTGAGGTTTCTGGGACAGAGAGATGTGATTTAGCCGAGGTTGACAGCAGTGGGTAACGCTGTGCATTGTCTTTCCCCCACTTGAGAGGACAAGCCATGAGTGAGATAGAGGTCTCTTTGCGGTACAAGTCAATGTCTGCATCAATCTAACAAGTGTGCTGTGTTCTGCAGTCCCCATGACTGTTTTGAGTCGTATTCCCCGACTTATATTTCACAACAGTCTGGCAGTGCCTGCATACTGTTTTTTTCTTTGTCTGTCACCTTTTCTCCTTTCTTGTATCTTTTTAGAAAGAAACCGAAATGCTTCCACACATCCGATTTAAAATCCGCTTTAGGTTTGATCATTTCCAGCTCTTTTTCTTCCCCGCTACTAGCAACACACTCCATTTCCGCATTACTGGATCTGTAGCGACAACAGACCGCAAAGGATGATGGCCACGCCTGGGCTGATGGGAATTGTAGTTCCCGCTACCTCCCGTTCGCTTCATTCGCCTAAGCAAACTTTTCTCAGAAATATAGTTTTATTGAGTCATGCGCCTATGGTAATATTGAACAAAAATTTTCTATTGCGGTATGACGGTATTTACAACTTTGTTACATCCCTAGTTACTACACAATTTAAATAATTCAAATTTTTCAATTTTTATTTTTTTTCTTATTGAACTTAGTTTCACATTTAATTTAGTGTCACATGATCCTTAAGAAATCATTATATTATTGGTACAAAACCACTAATATTTATTCTTATAATGATCAGTGCTAAAAAAAAAAGCTTCAAAGTATTTTGGAAACTGATACATTCTTTTACGATTGTTTGATAAAAAAAAAAAAAAGTAAATTTTTTTTTTTTTAAATCTTTTTTGCATTATAAAAAATTAATTTACTTTTATTCATTCCTTCATTCATTTTCTTTTTGGCTTTTTCCCTTTATTAATCTGGGGTCGCCACAGCGGAATGAACCGCCAACTTGTCCATCATATGCAGCGGATGCCCTTCCAGCTGCAACCCATCACTGGGAAACACCCATACACTCTCATTCACACTCATACACTACAGACAATTTTAGCTTACCCAATTCACCTGTATGTCTTTGGACTGTGGGGAAAACCAGAGCACCCAGAGGAAGCCCACGCGAACACAAGGAGAACATGCAAACTCCACACGGAAATGCTGACCCAGTCGAGGCTTGAACCAGCAACCTTCTTGATGTGAGGTGACAGCACAACCTACTGAGCCACCGCGTTGTCTAATTTACTTTCATGCTTGAACAATTTAGTTTGATGAGTAAAAGTAATTAATTTTCAATGGTACTTTGAAATAGTATTGTATAATGTGTACTGACGTGGTGGCGCAGTAGGTAGTGCTGTCACCTCACAGCAAGAAGGTCACTGGTTCGAGACTTGGCTAGGTCAGTTGACGTTTCTGTGCGGAGTTTGCATGTTCTCCCCGTGTTCGCGTGGGTTTCTTCCTGGTGCTCTGGTTTCCCCAACAAGTCTAAAGATGTGGTACAGGTGAATTGGGTAGGCTATATTGTTCGTAGTGTATGTGTGTGAATGGGTGTGTATGGATGTTTCCCAGAGATGGGTTGCAGCTGGAAGGGCATCCACTGCATAAAACATGTGCTGGATGAGTTGGCGGTTTATTAAGCTGTGGCAACCCTGGAATAATAAAGGGACTAAGCCGAAAAGAAAATGAATGAATAATGTGTATTGTATTGTTTCACAAAGTTATGACAACAACAATAAATGTTTATTCTTAGCAGATGGTTATATTAAGCACCATGAGAATTATGTGACACTGAGGGCTAGTATTTTTAATGATGATCAAAATTTAACTTTAAAATACAAGAATCACATTTTAAACTAAATACAATAAAATACCAGTACATGATTTAATTAGTTTATGATAAATTTATACTATTTAACTGACATTTCATTATATCACAGTTTTTGCTGTATTTGTCCTTGTTTCTATTACAGTATTGTTTAGCCTTTGTGAGCACAAGAAGCTTATTATACGACATATATATATATATATATATATATATATATATATATATATATATATTTCTGATTCCAAACTTTTCACTTGTAGTGTATACACACAAACACACATGTGACAAGTTGGACATAACAATATTCTATTCCATGAAGTCCTCATGCTAAATTAAACACAAAATATGTAAGTGCAAACATATTACCTTTGAAGGAATTCCAGTGTGCATGCTCACCCTCACAGATTACTCTGCCTTCCATGCTGATCATCCATTGTTTTATCCACTGGCCCAAAGTATCATCTGAACCTTTAATAAATTGGTTGATTAAAGTATTATTTAGGAATTATTCTGGAGATTAATTCTGTGATTTATCATTTGTTTTGAAAGGCTTGGTGTAGAAAGGGCCATGATAAAATTATGCAAGACGTGATAAAGCCATACAATATCATTTTTCAAAATTAAAATAAATATTGAAATAACTATAATAAGCAACTACATGAAATCAAACCAGGTAATCTGAGATTCAAAGATAATGAAAAGTGACAAAATGTCTTAAGCATGTGTTAAAACATTGACAATAGTATGTCAATTGTAATACTAAAGGATAACTAGGCTTCTAAAAGGCAAGTTTATTTCTTTGGGTATCAGATCAAAACAAATACATACATTTCTAACTAAATGAGACTTTGCTTTAATGAATTAAAAATGAATGAATCTATTTCGTCAAATACAAACCAGCAAAGTCTATAGCGGGACACAAATTTGATTTTTTTCCCTATCTTATTCAAAAAATACTTACCAGGCAGAATCAAATGAGGAGTCACAGGCAGGTTACCCATCTTTTCAAGATTAGCAGTGGTGGCAGACATCTATTGGTCAAAAATGAATTGTAAAGAATTTTCATTATAATAGCAGTTACTCCTTACTCACAAAAAAGATTAAAAGCTCTGCCACTTTAGGTAACGTTACCAAGCATAAAATCTGATCGTAACTCTAGTCAATTTCTATATAAACCAACTGCAATAACGTAAAAATAACAAAGGTCTCACTCGATCTTAAAATGTTATTTTTAGAAGCACCGGAGTTGCAAATGAAAAGGTGTATCTGTAATAAAATGGACCAAATATGCAAGTTACACATGTAACCACATGAAAAAAAAAAGATTCTGTACAATCTTCACTCAAAGTTCATGTAAAATGTAGGTTTAACATTCTTACCTGTGTGTGATGTGAAAATGAGTCCTCCAGCTATCGTTAGCTTGCTAAATTAGGCTAAAGTTACTCCCTTTCTCTTCTCAAGACATTCACACGGTCGGATCCTGCAATTAAATAAACAGGTGCTTTGGTTATGTGTTGATTGGATGTTTATGGCATGATATTTAAATTTAATAAGTAATTTAAAGATAGTACGTTTACAGATATAGCTTCTTACCTCGTCGAAAATATCCAAATTATCCAATTATCCTTTCTTGTTAAGTACCTTGGAGTTTCAAACAGAGGCACGCAATTCAAATCTGTCATAAAATGCAGGGCAATGTACCAGTTCATGTAACCGCAAATTATAACGTTCAACATTTGCACTGTTCCTAAAAGTTCAAGTAAAATATCCATCCAGGCTCCAGGAGATGTGAGGACTAACGTTACCGAGTCCTTATGCTAATCTTGCTTTTTAAATTCACACAGTCAAATCATTGTTGCAGTTGTGTGTTTATTGGATGTTTACATGTGATATTAAAAACTAACAGGTACTTTACAGATAGTTAGTCACATATGGAGCTGCAAACTTACCTCATGTAGATAATCCAAAATGGCGTCTTGTGTACACAGAAAAAAATATGGTATAAAACCGTTAAATTACAGTGCCCTTACTGTTGTTGCTTAACCACTCAAACTGAAGTGAGCAAGTCTTCCCATGATGCATTGTAAAAAACGGCAACTTGCTGTTTTTATATTAAAACAGTATTTTGCTGTTTATTTTCACCGTAAATTTACAGGAATTTTTTACAGTGTAGTAGATGTGGACAGTAGTTGTGTTTATTTTTAAATCAAGTAATGCACCCTACATTTAAAGATCTCTGACTTGTAATATGTGAGCATACTGTATTTACTGTACAAAACTTGTCAGTGAAGTATGAAGGCAAAAAATATTCATTCATTTTCTTGTCGGCTTAGTCCCTTTACTATTAATCTGGAGTCGCCACAGTGGAATGAACCGCCAACTTATCCAGCACGTTTTTACACAGCGGATGCCCTTCCAGCCGCAACCCATCTCTGGGAAACATCCACACACACACACACACACACACAATATATATATAAAAATATATATATATTTTTTTTATAAACAAAAATAATCATTCATTATTCGTAATTGAGTTAAAATGTTCAATTAATCGAGATTTTGATTTTATGCCAAATCGCTTAACCCTACCTCATACCTATCTATTTATGAACCGCTCATGCTCACCTGAAAAACAAAGTCCGCTCAAATATGGCATTGAAAAGACATTTCTATGTAGTTATTATTTCTGCTGTTTGCAACAGCACTTCTGTGCTGGCATGGCAACGCTTGTAAAATGACACCATGATTCATTCACTGTCAATAAATTGTGGTTATTTTATTGGCTTTATAAGTTTTTGAAGTCTTGCAAAATTGTTTATTAATAAGTAAAATAATAAATTATTTTCATTTCGTTGCATCCTTATTTGTGTTGTTAGTTTTATTAGACTGCTCAGAGCAGAATTAGCAGAGAAGCCTAAAATGTATTAGAATTAGAATAATTAGAATTAAAAAGAATTAGAATTTAGTATTCGTATCTGAGAAATTCATCATGTGCACAAACCCTGCTGTCTGATGTGTATTAATTAATCCATTACGAAAACTGCAAAACATTTCAGAGTCGGTTCATATTTTGCCTTTCGCTTGTACGGTGCCTCTGAACTGTCAACACACCGGATGTCAGATACGAAAAACGCTAAAAGTCGAACTCGATTTAATGTTTTTGTCATGAAAGATTTGGAGGTAGTGTGTCAATACAATTGACACAACCACAGGTCAAATATATTTTTTAATGTGCGAAAATTACGGAAGTAAATTTCGGATTTAAGGTACAATAACCATTACTCTGCTTTATACTATCATGATAGTTTAGCTAGTCCATCAACATGATTTCTGCAACAGTCCCATAGATTGATGAAGACCATAACTCTCATAATTCCATGCATGCCAATATGTCTTTGTTTGTTGTGAATACACACCCTCTACTGGAGAAAATTACATACTGTGGCTTTACAGACCTTTTTCATGGCTGCTGCATGGAGGGCGCCATAGCGACCAGCGTCTTCCGGTAGAATGCTAAAAACTTCCGTGTACAGCGTGTACAACTGGTAATTTGCGCTCCGAAAATGGGTTTCAATAATGTTTTTAATGGATAACAGAGTGTTTTAGTCACACACAACATACAAATGTGTCTGTTAAAAGCCGTTATAATCTGTCTCATGTGGTTCAAGCGCGTCAGAAATACGAGAAAAACGTTCTCCTAGTTTACGTGTCTGCCATCATAAATACAGTGTGTGTGTGCGTTCCCGGCCTGTCAGCTGTTAGCTCAGCGGCTCTTTAACACACACACACACACACACACACACACACACACACGCACACATACACACAGAGAGAGAGAGAGAGAGAGAGAGCAAAACAGAGTACTAGCATGAAACTTATGCAAGGGTATGAAAGTCGTGCAATTTACAAAAACGACCAATAAAAGTCTGTTATTGATCCTCTGCTGGCTGATTTGCTGTTCATTCTAATCGCGAGCCGTTAGTGTTTTATTTCGTGTGTTGTTTTCACCACGGTTTGTGTTTTTCTGTCATTTCGAAATGACACTAGCCTATATTTTCACTTTATCACAGTTATTAAATCAGTGTGTCAGTGGCACAGTACAGGCTACGTGTGTGTGTCAAACATTTTGCTGAATTACATTTGTTTGGGCTGGTTATATATTTGAAATAAAGAGAAAATGTTGACTTTAGCGATGACGAGGCTTCATTTAAACTGCAGAAGATGCCGCCTGACAAAGAGGGGAAAATGCCTCACAGCAGCTGTTTTCCATCCTATTAGATCGCATTTCTTTAAGTGATCAGTTCAGTAGATGCTGCTGATGGACAACAGTATTAGTTCAAAGAGGATAAAAGCAGGTAAAATAAATTAAAACTATCGTTTCAAAGCTGTCCAAATGTGACTGTTCACACACATCAGCTGCCGACCGGAAGTTCTTCGCATTCTCCTTGCGCATACACGCAAAGCATAATGGGTAATTTTGCGTTCCAAGAAAAAAGTCTATATAATGGATATTGGTGTAAAACACGCAAGTTGCTGAATTGGTGCCTGAACTGATTTTTAGCATGCTAGTATGTGTGTAGTTTAATATTTAATAGTGTCAAGCTTATTTCAGACCTCTCACTCTTAACATTAGAAATATTAATATTAATGCTCGCCTTATTGAACATCCCTTTTGATGTCCATTTCTGCTGATGCAACTTTCATTTCAGCTGGAGAGGAATTGGGAATAGAGGAAGAGGAAGGGAAATGAAAGTTTTTTTTCTCCTTGGCTGAGGAAACCAGTGTCTGATATTTGATTAAAATACAGAACGAGGTTCTCCTTTTTATTGTATTTTTGTCTGGTCTTTGCACTCTTGGCTTCAAAGCAAATTTCACTCCTAGAAAATTGGTTACCTTGTCATCAGGAAATGTCAGTGCTGCATAAAATATGTTTCCACTGATAATAGGGAATCCATAATTTCCTGCTTTCATCCGTATTTGCTGCTACTCAGAGCATGCAGGGCGCCAGATTGGGGGAAAAGAAATCTTCCATTTGCAAAACTAGTTAAATATTGGCTCGTGGTAAATTTGCTCTGCCTTTACCACCCAGAGGCAGTGTGTGAGGATTAGATGGAGAGTTGTAATTCCAATGAAACTTTCTGGACCTGATCGCAGGTCAGTGTGAAGTTCTTCTTTTGGAAAGCATCCGGTTTCATGTTAAAAAGGCATGCTGGATCTTGTCTGCTCATGTGGGGAAAAAGGACCCATTTCTACACTTTGCAGGTTTACTTTTTCCCCAAGCGTCCTGTTATAACATACAAAGAGAGCTGTTAAAATCTGTAAGGACTTCAACCATCCTGACAATTATCTATTCACTTTGCTTCCATCTAGAAAACGTTTTCGTAGCTTGATGGCAAAAACTGAGAGACTTAGGAGGAGTTTCTTTCCCCAGGCCATCAGGCTACTAAATTCTAACCCGGTGTTACACATTACGTGATTTTTTCGTATTTATCATTGTAGTAGTCATATTCATAAGTACATCATATTGCTGCTATTCTTATTACCTTGTATAATTTTTTGCACATCTTTTTTTTTTGCACACTTTTTTTTTTCTTCTTTTTGCTTAATATTTAATTTTTGTTTATCTATACTTGCGCTATCTCTGGAGCGGACCTGTCCTACATTTCACTGCTGGTCATACTTTGTATAACTATGTATGTGACAAATAAAACTTGACTTGACTTGACTTGACTATAACATTAGTCAAGGTTTCTTGCACTAAAGCAGAGGATTTTTACTCTGCACATTTAATTAAACTCTTTTTTTTTTCCCCTCTTGCTGTTGTGTTTGAAATTGACATGACTCTTTATCATAGTTAAATAATTTTGATAAGCAGCATCACTGCTAATTAGGGGTGTTGATCCATGATCCGTGCTCATCACAACCCATGATTCAAAACTCATGTGACCCACGGAATAAAAACTTTTTTTTAGCTTGTAGGTTAATCCGACATTTATAACAAGTGACCCTTCGCTAAGCCACACCCAAAAACCGCCACCCACCAATCGTGACTTAGCAAGTGTAGCTACGTGCAGGGGCTCTGCCAAGCTTTCGAGCGAGTGCATATATATATTGTGCAAATTTGATACCCGGCGAAGAGCTTGGATTGTGAGATGAGACTCTGATTGGTTTAATACATGTTATGCTCAAAACACACCCAGAACTCATTAAGAGAATAAGCACAACCATGTTAGACCATGCGCCAAGGCGCAAATCGTATCGTCTTTAAAATAGCAAAAGTGTATTTGGACTCGCCCTTAATGCTTTCTCGCCATCCACTTTAGACTTTGCGCTTAGAAAATAGAGCCCATAAAATTAGTAAGATTTGATTGGATAAAGATTTGAAAAACAGTAATATTACACAGGGCTCGAAATTAACCTTTTTGCTTGGTAGCACCGGTGCTCCTAACTTTAAAAACTTAGGCGCATCAGCCAAAATTTAGTCGTACCCACCAATTATAAGCACCGTTACTACAAGTTTTATACAAACATTTTTATTGCATTCGAAATCAACACTAATCAAACTAACAAGCAAAAAAAAAAAGAATACATATATGCAAGCATGAGGAAAATATGTCTCAAGGAAATCCCGTTATCACAAGAAAATAGATTTTTGTAACCTGAGTGACCAAAAGGTACACGGAGCACTCGCCGGCCCTGCACGCACTGCTTGAATGAATCTTAACGATATAACTGTGCTGTTCTTACAAGTG